TCCCCGCCTCGTCCGGCCAACGCCTCGCCGCCGCTCCTCTGCCGGATCCCGTCGCCCCCGTCGCCGAAGCCTCTCGCCGGCGCTCCCACGGCCTCGCTGCCCTCGTCTCCGGTGAGGTCGGGCCGGTTGGATGAGATCCACCGGTCCCGCCAACCAAACGCCCCGCCGTCCCGCTCCACTCCGTCCCGGGATCTCCCCGTCCAATTTTCGCGGAGGTGAAATTCCACTAAGTCCCCGAATCTGTGACATTATCATGCCATGTTCATGGCATCATATCTCCATGCATACTGCTCCGTTTCGTGCGTGTAATATGTAAAATTGTTCGCCTCAACGAGTACTTCATTTCATTCCATTGCATCATGTTCATTTGAGCTCATCTTGATGCCTGAATCATCATTGCAAGAGTGCTTCATAATGTTTTCTGCTGTCTGTTAACAGAACATGCACATTTGTCATTTTTACCATGATTGATGTGTGCATCTTATGTATTTGAGCCCTACATGTGTTTTGAACTATGCCATGCCATCTTTACAGGGGTGTATGCCATGTATTTTTGTGATCAATATGGTGACTAGAACAAGCATGCAAACTAGGCTTCGTGATGTTGCTGATTTTAGTCCCTGTTTTGCTGTTATTTTGATGCCATGTAAACATGATGCTACAGAGAGAACCATGCATATTTTGTGATAGTTCAGTAAGGATGTTTCGAACATATGGTTGTTCTCTATCCATTAATGCCCCTGCTTGCAATTATGGAGTAGTCTAGCATGTCATTTTCGTGCTCTACTTTTGCTCCAAAATGTTTCCTAGCGGATTGTTTACATGCTATTCAATTTTGCCAAGGTTGTTGTAGTTGATCCTTGCATGCTATGAACTTGTTCTTGCCTTGGTTTGTTTCACAAACATGTTTTCTTGCTGATGCTATGCTTATCTTGTCATGCAATGACTTGTGGTGAGTGAATCGAGCTTGTTAAGTAGGGTACTTGCTGTTACTATTTTGCTAGGCTGAATCTGTTATTTCGTGATGCTATGTAAACCTGCTGCTACAAATCATTCTATGCATAATTTGGAGATGTTCACTAAGGGTGTTTTGTTCTACATGTCATGCTCTATCCATCCATGCCCCTGGTTGCATTTATAGCCTGTTGTAGCTTGTTGTTATCTTGCTCTCAAGTTGCTAAATAATGTTGCTGTCAGCCTGTTAACATTAAGTTCAGTTGTTGCCATGATTGTTGTTAGTGATCCATGCACCCTATGAACTTGCTCTTGCCATGCTTAGCTTCATAAATATGTCTACTTACTGTTGGTTGCCTTGCCATGCCATGTATTGCTCTGTGGTGAGTGGTACAAGCTCATCTACATGCCTACTTATTGTTGTTCCTGCCATGTTTGAATCTGTAATATAACTTGCCATGTTTACATGGGTGCCATCATATTTTCTGCTCCTTTTTGGCTCATGCTCAGTAAAGGACTTTTGTTCTATAGGTTTAGTAGATTCATGCCATGCCTTTGTTTGCCATGATAAGATTCTGTAACATGTTGTTTGATAGCTCTGAACATTGCAACCTGATATTATTTTCTGCAAAGTCTGAACTGTTATTATTTGCAATCTTGCCATGTGTGTTTGAGCATGTTCTAGTGATTTCTAGAGATAGCTCAGTGTTCATGTTTTGTTATGCTTTACCTGTACATCATGTCCATGCATTTTGTTATCATGTTGAGCTGATGTAGCATATTGTTTTGATGCGTGCAATATGCATAGTTACTGTTTTGGACAGATTGTGGCTATAACTTGTATAGTGTGTGAGTGTTGAACCGTTGCTCCATTTTGAGTGTGCTCTATATGAAACTTGCTTGATTTTGCATGTAGTTTCATATTATCATGTTGCATCCTTGTTTTATGGTGTTTGCTTCATGTATCCTTGCCATGCATCATACGTGTTTGTGCATCATGTCATGTTCATGTGTGGTGTGTTTACTATGTTGTGTGTTTCTTCTCGATAGTTCCCGTTTCATTGCGATCGTGAGGATTCGTTCATCTACGCTTGGTTCGCCTTCGTGGCTTCATCTTCTTCATGGACTCGTTCTTCTTCCTCGCGGGATTTCAGGCAAGATGACCGCTACCCTGGATCTCACTACTATCATTGCTATGCTAGTTGCTTCGTTCTATCGCTATGCTGCGCTACCTATCACCTGTTTATCAAGCCTCCCTAATTGCCATGTCAGCCTCTAACCTTTGACACCTTTCCTATGCAAACCGTTGTTTGGCTATGTTACCGCTTTGCTCAGCCCCTCTTATAGCATTGCTAGTTGCAAGTGAAGTTGAAGATTGCTCCATGGCGGACAGGATTTTGTTGGGATATCACAATATCTCTTATATTATTAATGCATCTATATACTTGGTAAAGGGTGGAAGACTCGGTCTTATGCCTGGTGTTTTGTTCCACTCTTGCCGCCCTAGTTTCCGTCATACCGGTGTTATGTTCCCGGATTTTGCGTTCCTTACGCGGTCGGGTGATTTATGGGACCCCCTTGACAATTCGCTTTGAATAAAACTCCTCCAGCAAGGCCCGACCTTGGTTTTACCATTTGCCTCACCACCACATACCTTTCCCTTGGGTCGGCCAACCCGAGGGTCATCTTTATTTTAGCCCCCCCAGGCCAATGCTTGTCTAAGTGTTGGTCCAAACCGAGCGATGTCCGGCGCCCCCTGGGCAACCAGGGTCTATGCTAACCCGACGTCTGGCTCATCCGGTGTGCCCTGAGAACGAGATATGTGCAGCTCCTATCGGGATTTGTCGGCACAACGGGAAGCTTTGCTGGTCTTGTTTTACCATTATCGAAATGTATTGTAAACCGGGATTTCAAGTCTGATCGGGTTTTCCTGGGAGAAGGTATATCTTTCGTTGATCGCGAGAGCTTGTCATGGGCTAAGTTGGGACACCCCTGCAGGGTATAATCTTTCAAAAGCCGTGCCTGCAGTTATAGGCAGATGGGAATTTGTTAATGTCCGGTTGTAGATAACTTGACACCAGATCCGAATTAAAACGCATCAACCGTGTGTGTAGCCGTGATGGTCACTTCTCGGCGGAGTCCGGGAAGTGAACACGGTTTTGGGTTATGTTTGACGTAAGTAGGAGTTCAGGATCACTTCTTGATCATTGCTAGCTTCACGACCGTTCCGCTTGCTCTCTTCTCGCTCTTATTTGCGCATGTTAGCCACCATATCATGCTTAGTCGTTGCTGCAACCTCACCACTTTACCCCTTCCTTTCCCATTACGCTTTGCTAGTCTTGATACCCATGGTAATGGGATTGCTGAGTCTTCGTGGCTCACAGTTTACTACAACAACAGTTGCAGATACAGGTTATGCGATGATCAGGACGCGAGAGCGATGTTTGCTTGTTTAGAGTTCTTCTTCTGCTTCTTCTTTGATCAGGGGATAGGTTCCAGGTTGGCAGCCTGCGCTAGCAGGGTGGATGTCGTTTGAGTTTCTGTTTGTGTTTCATCCGTAGTCGGATGGTGCTCTTATGTAAGATGATGTTGTATTCGTGTGGCATTGTATGCCTTATGTATGTATCCCCATCTATTATGTAATGTTGATGTAATGATATCTACCTTGCAAAAGCGTTTCAATATGCGGGTCTATCCTTCGTGGGACCTTCGAGTTCCTTTTGGATAGGGTCGCATATTAGGCGTGACAGAGTGCTTTAGCTAGTTTAGTTGTAAATCTATATCTATATCTATATCTATATCTATACCTAATAATATTAAAGGGAAAATTGTTTCTCTATTTTTTTGTCAAAGGTTTTTTTTTTACGTAACTTCGTACGTCGTGCTTAGCGATTGAACAACAGTTTTATCGATCGAAAGATATGGAATGTCAGTTTTTTTTTTTTGAGAAAAATATGGAATGTCAGTTTTGACTACGACACCTGCAAACAGGCCGGCCCAATAAAGAACACCAGTTTTAACTACAACACTTGCAAACGGGCCGGCCCAATTTATAAGCCTGGAAAGAAATATAAAAAATCAAATGGCAATAGTGGGAATCGAACTCGCTACCTCACGCTGGATAGTAGTGAGGCTAATCACCCAAGCTAACAACAACAGATGACTAAGAAGCACCACTGACAATAATTATTCAGAAAATCGAACAAATGTTTGAAAGCCGTAGACAAATTTCAAAAATGTAAAAATAGCCTGAGTTTTTCTGAAAAATATGTACACAAACTAAAAATGTAAAGAGTTTTTCAAATTATGGAAAGACGTAGAATTCCGAACTATTGTTTTTGAAATGCGAAAATTTTATTTTCAAAAAATAAACTGCACACTGAACAATTTCTCGGTATACAGTTATTAAATAAATGCAACGCACGGGTATGTTTGCTAGTAATTGTTAAAAAAAAAGAAAACTATTTTGTTGTAATTTGCTGTACATCTGTATCAGGGCTCCAACCTCCGAAACAACCCACGAGGAGCTGAGACGGCGGCGAGGGTTTAGGCATCCCCTCCCACACACAGAAACAGAGCCGCCGCCAAACCCCGGGAAATGGCGGCCTCCCGCTTCCTGACGCTCCTCCGCCGCCGCCGCTCCATCCCCAACCCATCCCTCCTCCACCGCCGCCTCGCCTTCTCCTCCTCTCCCCCGCCCCCCTCACCGGAGAGCCCCTCCGCCCCCTCCTCCTCCAAGCCCCCCTCCCTCTCCGCCCGCCTCTCCTTCGTCTTCGACCAGCTCGACGCGCTCGACCGCAACCGCTCCTCCGACCTCTCCGCCCGTGACGCCGCCCTGCGCCGCATCCAGTCCTGGCGTCGCCCGGCCCCGCCCCCACCCGACGCGCCCCCGCCCCCGCCCCCGCCCAGGCCTGAGCCGGGCGGCCAGCCAGAGAAGGTCGTCGAAGCGGCGGCGGCGAAGGTCGGACAGGAGGTGGCGGCGGAGGCGCTGGAGAGTATGAGCGTCGCGGATGTGCTGCGGAGGGAGGTGGAGCTGGTCCACCCCTGGCCCGAATGGATCGAGCTCATGGAGCGGCTCGCGCAGCAGAGGTACTTCGACCTCGGGGGAGGGTCGGGCGGCGCCGACCAGGAGTCCCGTCTCGCCGCGGCGGTGCCCATGGATCTCTCGGAGGTCGCCGAGGAGTCTGGCTTCGATTTCTCCAGAGACTGGACCACTGTCAAGAACGCCTGCATGAACTTCGGCCGGGACCGGTTCGACATCCTCAAGTACGCTCCCCGCTCACTTAATTGGCTTACCAATGGATTGTTTGACGAAAACACTTTGGCATGAATGTGAGAGTTGAATGTCTCTTAGACTTGTAAAGGGCCTGCTGCCTAAATGCCTAGGCAGGTTCAGAGGATGATAGACATCAGGGATGCTTGCTACTGTTAGTGTTTGGTATAATTTGATACAATACTTCTGTTTATATAATCTAGTATTGGTATTAAGGAATAATAACTGAATACTACCACAAAGGTTTACATCTGTAAAGTTCCATTGCTGTAAGTTTAGAATTATGAATTATTCTTTCTGGAATTATTTTGTCGCGCATAGGATTCACCTTTTGTATACTCAAATTACATTTTTGTTCCATTAAATACATTTCTTGTTAAAGCAGTGAAATGCAGATAAAACTATTATACATGAAGTCAGAAATTCATGGATGCTGTGCACATTAGTATACTTCTGATCATTGCAACACTTCTTTCTGGATGCAAAAAAATTGCTAGCACTATCAGAAACTATGATATATACTGCTAGCCTAAAGCACATGATAACAGAGGGCAATTATAATGTATTCGAAAACAGTGAATACTATGCATACAGATTTTGTCATTACGATTCAAGTAAAAAAAAACACTGCAGACAAACTGGTATTCGTGTCAAAAGGTATATATTGTACTCCAACAGATATTTATGTAATAGAAATTATGTTAACAGTTCCTTAATTATGCAGGCCGTTGCCTAGGAAGGATCTTCAAGTATTGGTTGGCCATGGGTGCCCCAGCATGGATCCAAAAGTTGTGTTTTCTGCGAAGCTGATAAGGAAACTGGTCCACCTTGACGAGGGTGATGTAAGTTGCAGCTAAACTCAAGTTTATTCTCCGCAGCCCACATGTTTTCATTTCACTACGTTATGTTCTAGATGAGGGATGAAAAGCAGAAAAACAAAATGGGTGAGGATCACTTCCTTTCTTGATTGTATGTAGTCACTATTTGAGTGATCTGTAGATATTTGTAAGGTTATAAAAGGTATATTTGTGCTCACCTAGGCGTGCATAGGTTATTTGAGGCATCGGAATGCTGCATCTTGGTATTAAGGGAAGGTTTAGGCCGCAGGTAAGGAATTGACCTATTGTATGACAAGTCGTGGTCTCTCTGGCGAGGGATCAACCTTCTCTGGTTTAAAAATCACCCTCTCCGATGAGTATTCACGCTTCTCTGAAGGAAAATCACCCTCTTCTGCAATGAATCGAGCTCTGCCAAGCCCATCGCTGTTACTACAGGGAAGGAGAGAGATAGAATAAAAACCGCAGTTTCTGGTGTTCTTCCCCAGATCTGCTTTAATAAGCATATACATGCCTTTCTAGTGGTTTAATGTGCTGGGTTAGCCCATAGTGCCCAATTTTCTGTTTCCCTCCTCTTTTTACATTTACGCATGTGCTTCAAGCTGTTGCTCCCCCTAGGTGGCGGCAAAACACTCCCCTAGCGCCTTTTTGAACATTGGATATGTGTAGTTTCTCACTTTGAACAATGGCATATGCACAGTAGTCATGACACTTTGGTACATCAATTTGTTGATTTGCAAATTATTTACTTACCTGACCACAACGTGCCTTCTGGCTTACTATCTATTTCCAACTCCTTATTTGCTACTATGTTTATGTAAATGGTTGCTGCTATTGTTATGATAGTTTATTGCCTTTCTTGATTTTATTAAAGATTAACACAACATTCACTGGCGTGATAGGTCTGCGTTTTATAGCAATAGGAGTAAATAGCCGCAATTGTATATGTATTTAGACTTTTTCAACATGCCACTTAATTTTCTTGTTAATATGTACTCCCTCCGTTCCAAAATAGATGGCTCAACTTTGTACTAACTTAGTATAAAGTTAGTACAAAGTTGAGCCATCTATTTTGGAACGGAGTATTTGCATAACAGAGGTGACTGTTACATACCCACAACTAATTACCAAAACATCTCTCAACAGTTTGGTTCGGCGTTCAGTTCCTCGTTTCTTATGGACTCCTACTGACTGCTATATAAACATGAAAGATGAAAATACACTAGAAAGACCAGGCAAGGTGTAATCTTCTCATTTCTTTATTTTGCTCCTGATTTGCAGGTGTGCAGTAAGTGTAATTTGCGAAATTCATGCTCAAGAGGCTATATCCTTACACGTAAAGAAGATGAAGCTCGGACTCTTGATGTTATGCGTATTTTATTGGTCTATGGTTTTGATCATATAAAGGGGACTGTGGAGAACAAACCACTTCTCAAACTGAAATCCGTGAAGACCGTCGTTCGGAAATTAATACACGAGATTGCCAAGCTGAGTGCTGTTCCTATTGACCCCAATCTTCCACCCCCTGTAATCAGGAAGTTGCCACCTAAGGTGAAGCAACCGCCTCCACCACCAAAGAGACGAGTTGGACGTGATGACGTAGAGATGAAGAAAGGAGACTGGCTCTGCCCAAAGTACATTAACCTGTCTCACCTGTAATTTATAGAATGTTGACTTCAGGAGCGATTCTTATTTTCTGAAGTATGTGGTTGCAGGTGTGACTTCATGAACTTTGCGAAAAATACAATTTGCTTGCAGTGTGATGCTAAGCGTCCCAAAAGGCAACTTCTACCTGGAGAGTGGGAGTGTCCTCGGTTAGCTTACTTACCACAGATTTATTTGGTCTATTTTTTGAACTTATACACAGCAGTTTCCTAGTATGCCTCATATTTATCACATCCATGTTTGTTATCTGTCTAAGAACACGCCTGTGAATAACAGCTTGGTATCTGATTATCTTTCTTCATTATTTATGTCGAATACGTTTCTCTGTGCTGTCATTTGTTTCTCAAGAGGCAATTAGTTAATAGTTATGCAAACAAGGAACGATAAAGGAAACAGTGCACATTTGAACCATTCATGAATAAAATTGTGATAATTTGTCATCCTTACACATTTTTCTATCAATATCTAGGTGCAATTTTTTGAACTACAGACGGAACATGTCATGTTTCCATTGTGAACATAACCGTCCTCCAGATGAATACACCAACAGCCAAATGGAAGAATATCAATCTGCACCGCGGAAACGGTTGGAAAGACCAGCTCGCAAGCCTGACGTTTCTAATGCGTGGAACTTTGACTTTGATGATAATGAATCGGATGGTGCTGATGTTGCAGCATTTGAGTTTGCTGATTCATCCAAAGTCAGGGAGAGCTCATCTGTGGACAACTCATATAGAGATAATACAAAGGGTTCTGAGGCCGAGAAATTCTTTGGAATGGATGAACCAAGGAGCGAGGGAAGAGAGAGAAAGTTCAGTGGAAGAGACAACTTGAACTCATCTAGAGTTGGTTTTGATGATTTTGATGACGAAGAGGACGATATTGACAGTTACGAGCTTGATTTGTCAAAAGGTGGTCAGACAGGTGGTGTGTCGAGGGTGAGTTATTCTGACCTTGAGAATGCTTCTTCTGATTCAGAAGACTTGAACGAATTTGCTCACAGTAGAAATTCCAATTACGGGGCAAAGGATGAAGCAACAGGTTCAGCTGACGATGATGAATTTGATGATCAACCCTCCCTAAGATCTAGTCATATTGCTGATTCTTGGCAGAAAACCAGAGGTTGGAGCGGTTCGAACAACCGCAGAAGCGCATCTTTTGGCTCAGAGAGTAATGATGGGGTTATTTCTGATTTTGATGAGGATGTTGACAACGGTTTTAGATCTAAACAAAGGCGTAAACAGGGAGGCCGTGAAACAGTTCCTGATATGGACTCTGACATGGATGATGAGTTGCAGTCAGATGATAGGAGGAACAGGTCCTCCACAAATTTCAGAGGAAACTTCCCTGCCAGAACCTCTAACTTAAATAGTAGAAGCGCTAGTGGGGACCGTTATGGTAGGAAAAGAGGCAACGAACAGTTCAGGAGTGTTGATGTGCATGATGGTGGGTCGCCCTTTGATAGGAATCGCAGAGGAAGGGGTAATCAGCAAGATCATGGCTCAAGAGGTTCACAAAGAAATGCAGGAAGAAATTGGGATAATAGTAGTGAGTTTGATCGCAGAGGGAGGGGTAATCAGCAAGATCATGGCTCAAGAGGTTCGCAAAGAAATGAAAGAAGAAGCTGGGATAGAAGTAGTGAGTTTGATGGCAGTGACAGGCCCCTCAGGCGTTCTAATAGAAGGTAAGAATATGGCAATGCAAGTGGCAGCATAAGCATCGAAAGTGTGGACAGTGTGCCCAAAATTCTTGGATTCAGAACTGGATTGATGGCACTGGATCCTGAGACCCTGCCGATAAGGGATGTTTTAGGAAGTGTTAATATTTCCAAGATTTTTTCCAAGGCTCCAAGCTAGCCAACATTTGGAGTGTTACATCATGGAATTTGGTATGTTCAGATTTTGTGAAAGAACTTTTTCCTTTTTTCTTCACCATTTACTGCCTCATAATCTTCTCAAGGAAGGGCCTAGAATGCAGCGAGAGAACATGCCTCCATGCATGTACGTTTAATATTTGTTGTATCAGTTTCTTCATCTTAAACATTATATATTCAAAGATAAGTTAGTAATGGAGTTCAATTGTCATCTGTGCAATGTGAAAAGTGAACTCATATATTTTCAGTAATGAATTTTCAGAAAATTTGTTCTGAAACTATTGACCTGTAAACTCCTGTCACAACATGGCTATTTGGTTCTGTCCTCTTGCATAATAGGCTCCCTTTTGTTCTCTAGATTAGGTTTGGTAGTCATTGGCTAGTTCATAACTTAATATCACTAATTTTGTTGTCACTCATTTGCTCAGCGCAGTTTGAATCTTGTTCTGTTCTTCAATACGCCTTCCGATCCCATTTGTAATTTGTATGTATCCTTGATCTATCAATCAGTTCTTGCATGTATTTTTTGACTGGAAGTTCTTTCATACATGTAAACATCTATACCACTATATAGTGTATGAATAGCTTTGTATATATATCATTGGATGAAATTGATCCAATGGTCAGGATGTGGAAAATCAGACTGCTGCTGGCTGTTTGATTTACCATTCGTTACATCAAGTCCTGCCATGTGTAGTATCTGAAAGTTTTCATGATTAAACTTAGTGCGCCTGTTCTAATGGAGAATATAATTATCATCTGTACTACATTCACACACATGTACTCTATGCTAAACTCTTCCATACGTGCTCTTGATCCAATTATTTTTATCTCTTGAGGAAAGAGTTGCAATTTATATTTACCTTATGAATTTAGATATTTTTTCAAGAGGCAGCTAGAATTTTGGATTTTGTGTGTAATTTACCAGTAGTTCTGTGTAAGCAAGCCTCATGGCCTAAACATTACCCTGTAAATGCAAAGTGTTCCTTTAGCACATCAAAGCATAGCGCCACCCCATCCCCCCTTCAGGCTCAGCAACTAGATTGGAGTAACTTATCTACAATAATTGTCACTTCTTCTCATGAGAATATGCAAATTTCCCTCGCACTTCGATTAGCCTTCTAAGAAAGCTAAATGTTGCACATACACCCTGGCCAAAAAGCCAGTAATTTCATAGTCATTTATCTACTTTTTCAGCAAATATTTGGTCTGCATATTAGAAAATAACCGCATGCATTTAGCCTGGAATTTTATTTTCAGGAGTTTGTGGCTGCAATACTTGTACACTCCACAAGCTTCATGTCGACACAAAAAGGATAACATAAACTAGCATGTGAAAGGTAATGAAACAGAAAATCACCTACACCATTTGCACCCGGATCTCACGATAGATTATACTCCATTAATTGGAATGTCGTTATTCCTCTATGTCTTCAGTTATTCTAGGATTCTAGAAGTGATGTTTCTTCGGAGACAGCATGCTGCAGGCTTCTTTCCCTTGATTTATGTTCAAACCGGAGAAGAGCGTACAACACATCCTTCATTGATGGCCGTTGTTATGACCGGTTTGGTCTATACCAGGAAGAGTCCTACCGGGCATTAGTATTAGGGGCTTGACCCACAAGTTATCTTAGGCAAGTTATTTTAGGCAAGTTATCTTAGGCTAAAGTTATCAATACTAGTTGTAAGACATCGTTTGAGATCAAGCAATAAAGATATTATCATCTTCTGTTGCCCGGCTCCCTGAGGAGCCGGAACCCTAGCCGCCACCAGCCAACCGCCGCCGCACCTAAACCCTAGCCGCGACGGCGCCTCATCGCCGGCGCGCCCGCTCCAGCCCTCGTCTCCCTCCTCCCTGCCCATACAATCTACGTCGAAGGCCCGGTAGGAACCCTAGTCCTACCAATTTGGTATCATGTACCCGGGTTTCGACCATGTCTTCTCCACCGCCGCCACCACCGCCGCTGCCCGTCAACGCCACCACCGCCGCTGCCGCCAACTCCTCCACCGCCGCCGCCTCTGCCCCGGGTGCCACGACCTCGCTCTTGGCGGGCATCACGGCGTCGCTCTCGGCCCCGCCCCTCCAGGCACCCGGCACCGCGCCGGGCCACGGGCGGCCACCAGCCCCCGTCCAACCTACGCCGCCGCCATCACCTCCTCCGCAGACGCAGCAGTTCACACCGGAGGCAATGGCCGGTGTCCTCACCGACCTCGTCGCCTCGGTCCAGGGCATCCGCCTCTACCTGGCAAGTCCATACGGGCCACCGCCACCAATCCATCCAGCCATGGCCACGAGTCAGCAGGCGCTGCCATGGTACTCGGTACCGGGGGCCATCACCGGAGGCTACCCGGCGCTCCCCGCCCAGGCGGCTGCACCGCCGCTTTGGCCACAATGGCCGCCGCAGCTTGCGACGGCAACCGCGCCACTCGCCGCCACCACGGGGCCGCAGTGGCCCACCTGGACCGCGCCGGCCGCGCCATCCCTTCCAGTGGGCCCGGAGCAGGTTCCTCCACCGCCCCCGCCCAGCCCTAACCTGGGCCGGTCGTCGCCGAGCGGGCTTCCGATCCAGGAGGTCTGCTTCCCGTCGTCACCATCGCCACTCCCAGGCTGGCTCCACGGGCCGCCCTCGGCCTACCCGGAGGCTCATCCACCGCCCGGTTTTTCGTTGCAGCCCGAGGCGTCGGGCGCCACCGGGCACTACGCCGGGCCTTCCACCATGGACCGCGCACCATCATCCGCCCTCCGCACCGCCGAGGCAGTGGGCCAGGGCGCGCCACACCAGCAGCCGCCCCGGTTCGCCAAGATCGACTTCGCCACATACGACGGCTCCGACGACCCGCTTAACTGGCTCAACCAGTGTGACCAGTTCTTCCGCGGATAGCGCACGCCCGCGTCGGAGCGCACTTGGCTGGCTTCCTACCATCTCCGCGGGGCCGCCCAGACATGGTACTACGCCCTCGAGCAGGACGAGGGCGGCATGCCTCCGTGGGATCGCTTCCGGGAGCTGTGCCTTCTTCGTTTCGGGCCACCGGTCCGCGGGAGCCGCCTGGCCGAGTTGGGCCGCCTGCCGTTCACCTCCACGGTGCAAGACTTCGCCGACCGCTTCCAGGCCCTGGCGTGCCACGCGCCCGGTGTGACGGCCTTACAGCGGGCGGAGCTTTTCATCGGTGGCCTTCCCGACCACATCCGCGTGGACGTCGAGATGAAGGGGCCCCAAGACCTTCAGACGGCCATGTACTATGCCCGGGCGTTCGAGCAACGCGCCCAGGCCTTGACGCGTCCATCCGCGCCACGTGGGGGCCGACAGCCTACTCGGCCGTCTTCGGCAGCACCGACACCGTCCACCGCCGCCCAGGCGGCCACCCCGGCTCCGACGCGGCCGTTTAGGCGCCTCACTCAGGCAGAACAGCTGGAACGCCGGCGCCTGGGCTTGTGCTTCAACTGTGATGCGCCCTATGCACCGGGACATGTCTGTCCCCGCCTCTTCTACTTGGAGACGTCAGACGAGACGGGCGAGGAGACACTGGAGGATGGCCTCGGCGACCCAGCCCTTGCGGAGACCGCAGCGGCGCCCGCGCCCGCCCCGGCCACCGCCCTCGTGGTGTCCCTACACGCGCTGGCCGGTATCCGTGATGAACGGACGATGCTCTTACCGGTCATGATCCAGGGCGAGCGCTTGGTGGCCCTAGTGGACACAGGATCCACACATAACTTCCTGCCGGCGACCACCATGCGGCGCCTTGCATTACAACCCACCGGCGGCGAGCAATTGCGAGTCACAGTCGCTAATGGCGACCGTCTCCACTGCCACGGGCTCGCCCGTGACGTGCCCATCACTATCGGCGGCGAGCACTTCTCCATCACCTGCGCCGGCATCGACTTGGGCTGCTTCGACTTCATCCTAGGCGTTGACTTCTTGCGCACTCTTGGTCCTATTCTCTGGGATTTCGATGCGCTGACGATGACCTTCTAGCGGTTGGGCCGCCGCATTCGGTGGGACGGCATTGGGGGTGCCGCACCCACACCACCCCTCCAGCTGGCCGCGACCATCGCCAGGGCCGAGCACCCACTTTTGGAGTCTCCTACAGCAGCATGATGACATCTTCACCGAGCCACAGGGGCTGCCGCCGCCCGCACGTATGATCACCGTATACATCTTCTGCCAGGCTCCGCGCCGGTGGCAGTCCGCCCTTACCGCTATCCACAGTTGCAGAAGGATGAGTTGGAGCGGCAGTGTGCCCTCATGCTCGCGGCAGGCATCATCCGGCTCTCCACTTCGCCGTTCACTGCGCCGGTGCTTCTCGTCCGCAAGTCAGACGGCACATGGCGTTTTTGCATTGACTACCGTGCCCTTAATGCTATCACACTTAAGGACAAGTTCCCTATTCCGGTGGTCAACGAGCTCCTCGATGAGCTACACGGGGCGCGCTTCTTCACCAAGCTTGACCTTCGGTCGGGGTACCACCAGGTGCGCATGCACCCGGATGACATCGCCAAGACGGCGTTTCGGACTCATCACGGCCACTTCGAGTTCTTGGTGATGCCCTTTGGCCTCACCAACGTCCCGGCGACCTTCCAGGCTCTGATGAACGACGTCCTCAGGCCCTACTTACGCCGGTTTGTGCTCGTTTTCTTTGATGATATTCTAATCTACAGTGCGTCTTGGGCCGAGCACCTCCAGCACGTCGCCATCGTCTTCAACGAGCTTCGAGCGCACCACCTCCACCTTAAGCGCTCGAAGTGCTCGTTCGGGACGCCTTCGGTGGCATACTTGGGCCACGTCATCTCCGCCGACGGGGTGGCTATGGACGCCGACAAGGTGGCAGCCGTCTCCGCCTGGCCGACGCCTCAATCGCCGCGGGCTCTCCGCGGGTTCCTCGGCCTCGCCGGCTACTACCGGAAATTTATTCGGGAGTTCGGGCTCATCGCAGCGCCCCTCACATGGTTGCTTCGCCGCGACGCTTTCGCCTGGGACGACGAGGCGACGACGGCGTTCGAGGCCCTCAAGGGGGCCCTCACGACGGGCCCCGTCCTCCAGATGCCCGACTTCGACCGCCCGTTCGTGGTGGACTGTGACGCCTCGGGCGCAGGGTTCGACGCCGTGCTTCATCAGGGCGATGGGCCCCTCGCCTTCTTCAGCCGGCCTTTCGCTCCGCGTCACCTTAAGCTGGCGGCATACGAGCGGGAGCTCATTGGCCTTGTACAGGCCGTTCGTCATTGGCGGCCGTACTTGTGGGGCCGGTCCTTCCTCATTCGCACCGACCACTATAGCCTGAAGTTCTTGCTGGATCAACGGCTGTCGACCGTGCCGCAGCACCAGTGGATCAGCAAGCTCTTCGGCTTCGACTTCTCCGTCGAGTATCGGCCGGGCCGCCTTAACACCGTGGCCGACGCGCTGTCCCGTCGCGACTCCGACCTCGCTTCCTCCGCCGACGAGTCCGTCGGGGCGGCCCTGTGCATCCGCTCTGGGCCGACGTTCGGCCTCTTCGCCGACATTCGCTGAGCCACTGCGACGGCCGACGACGCCGTCCGCCTTCAGCAGCAGCTCACGGCCGGCGACCTGGAGGAGCCTTGGCGCTTCTCTGACGGACTACTCCTACATGGGCGCCGGGTCTTTGTTCCGGCGCATGATGATCTCCGTCACCAGGTGTTACAGCTCGCCCACTCGGCGGGTCATGAGGGTATGCAGAAAACCCTTCATCGTCTTCGCGCCGACTTCTACATCCCTGGCGATCGCGCCCTGGTCCGCGACTGGGTTTCGTCTTGTCAGACATGCCAGCGCAACAAGACAGAGACCCTGAGGCCGGCCGGGTTACTCCAGCCCTTGGAGGTGCCATCTCAGTTCTGGGCGGATATATCCATGGACTTCATTGAGGGCCTTCCCAAGGTGGGTGGCAAGTCGGTCATCCTCACGGTGGTCGACCGCTTTTCCAAGTACGCCCACTTCATCGCGCTCGGCCATCCATACACGGCGGCGTCAGTGGCCCGAGCCTTCTTCGACGGCATCGTCCGTCTACACGGGTTCCCTGCTTCGATCGTCAGTGATCGGGACCCAGTTTTCACGGGCCATGTTTGGCGCGACCTCTTCAGGATGGCAGGTGTCCAGCTCCGCCTGAGTACGGCGTTCCATCCTCAGACGGACGGACAATCCGAGGTGGTTAACAATGTCATTGCCATGTATTTGCGTTGTGTGACAGGTGATCGGCCTCGCGCTTGGGTGGACTGGCTTTCTTGGGCGGAGTACTGCTACAACACCTCTTATCACTCCGCCCTGCGCACTACGCCATTTGAGGTGGTCTATGGTCGACCACCCCCACCTATCCTTCCGGTGGATCCGGAGACAGCTCGGACGGAGGTTGCGGGTGAACTCATCCGCACTCGTGACGAGATGCTTGCTGAGGTTCGTCAGCGTCTCCTTCAGGCCCAACAGCTGGCCAAGCACTACTACGACGATCATCATCGCGAGGCGGAGTTCGCGGTGGGTGATTGGGTGTGGCTGCGTCTTCTCCACCGCTCTACGCAGTCACTCGACCCGCGAGCAAAGCGCAAGCTCGGTCCTCGCTACGCCGGGCCCTTCTCTATCTTGGAGCGCATTGGGAAGGTGGCCTATCGTCTTCAGCTTCCAGCACGCGCTCGCATCCACGACGTCTTCCATGTGGGGCTGCTCAAGCCTTTCCGTGGCGAGCCACCGGCGGCTCCTCCGGCGCTTCCTCCCATCGCCGTGGTCGCATTCTTCCAGAGCTGGCCAAGGTGTTGCAGGCACAGCTCCGTCGTGGCGTCTGGTTCATCCTCGTTCAGTGGACAGGCCTTCCGGAGGAGGAGGCTACTTGGGAGCAGCGTGAAGAATTCCGCCAACACTATCCAGATTTTCAGCTCGAGGACGAGCTGTTTGCGCAGGCGGGGAGAGATGTTATAACCGGTTTGGTCTATACCAGGAAGAGTCCCACCGGGCATTAGTATTAGGGGCTTGACCCACAAGTTATCTTAGGCAAGTTATTTTAGGCAAGTTATCTTAGGCTAAAGTTATAAATACTAGTTGTAAGACATCGTTTGAGATCAAGCAATAAAGATATTATCATCTTCTGTTGCCCGGCTCCCTGAGGAGCCGGAACCCTAGCCGCCACCAGCCAACCGCCGCCGCACCTAAACCCTAGCCGCGACAGCGCCTCATCGCCGGCGCGCCCGCTCCAGCCCTTGTCTCCCTCCTCCCTGCCCATACAATCTACGCCGAAGGCCCGGTAGGAACCCTAGTCCTACCAGCCGTACTGAAGGCTGCCCACCTGTACAGATCACACCTAGCGTAAACACTGCAAATGCATCTTCAATGTTGGCTGGATCTCGAATGTCTTCATCAAGAAGATCAATTGACAGGCCATATTCTTGATACTGTCTCCATGCCCATTCTGCCAAGCAATACTCCAAGCCTCCATCATTTGCCACTCTCCCTGTTGTGAGCTCCAACAGGACCACTCCGAAGCTGTAGACGTCAACATTCTCATTCACCTTAAGCCGGTATCCGTACTCTGCAAAAAAGCTAGTCTCTGATTAGCACATGGTACATCCTAAATATATACCAGTTTGAGTTTGTATTTCGAGTTTGTATTTCTTTTTCTTACCTGGTGCCATGTAGCCAAAGGTACCACCTATGGCAGAAATTGACGCAGGATCTCCAGTTTTGAGAAGAATCCGAGCAAGCCCGAAGTCGGCTATCTTTGCTCTGAACTCGGGGTCAAGAAGGATATTAGCAGACTTGACATCACAGTGCACTATTGCGGGTGAACTATCATGGTGCATATAGCATAGACCTCTTGCTGAGTCGATGGCAATTTGCAATCTGGTGGGCCAATCCAAAGGCGCCAATGAACCAACTCTATCTCTTTGATGCAGCCACCTGTCTAAGCTACCGTTTTCCATGTACTCGTAGACAAGAAGCTCTGCCTCTGAGCTTGAGATGCAGCAGAGCAACTTGACAATGTTTGTGTGTCGGATCTCACCCAATATCTGGACCTCTGCAAGGAAGTCCTTCTCAAGCTTGTTGTCAAGGTTCTGCGCGTTCCATATCTTTTTAACAGCCACCATTCTACTACCACCTTCTCCATCCACAACACAAATTCGATACACCTTGCCAGACCTGCCACTTCCAATCCAGTTCTGCTCACAGAGCCCAGAAAGAACATCATACTCTGTGAAATGCAGTGCATGGAACTGGGTCAGCTTCCATGATAGAGGATCTTGGCTATTCTTTTTCCTCTTTAATAGCAAGAAACCACGAACTGCCAAACCCACAAGCATGATACTTGCAAGAACAAAAAAGAGGGCTATAAGCCTCCTGGAGATACCATTGTTGGTGTTTGCTCTTGCCCCGCAAATCGGGAAATTCGGGATGGAATTATTCAATGAGACACAGAGGCCTGGATTGAATAGGAAGCTTTGCTCATATGCTTCGTTTTGCAATGATATTGGAATTTCCCCTGTGAGGTGATTCATGGAGAGGTTTAAAAAGTTCAAATTCAACTTATTGATATCTTTTGGGATCTCACCAGATAGCGCATTCGAGGAGAGGTCAAGGATGGTTAGCTCTGACATAAACCCAAATGCTGCAGGTATAGTACCAGATATCTGATTTCCACTTAGATTAAGTGCTTTGAGCTTTAGCACTCCAATTGCCATGGGTATCGATCCATTAATTTGATTTCCAGAAAGGTCAAGCTCTTCTACCTGTGAAATGCCCGTCAAATCCCAGGGAATTTGGCCAGAAAGCAAGTTATTTACTGCCCTGGATACTTTCATTTTGCCTGCTAAAGTTGGAATGGGACCAGAGAATCTGTTGTTGCTCATCTCAAGACGTGAAAAGTTCCATGGTAGCTGGGTAGGAAAGGTCCCAGAGAAATTGTTGTTTTGGATCATAACTGTCGTTAGTTGATTTGTCACAACTGACCAGATGCTCTTGGTGAACTCTCCAGTAAAATGATTGTTGTACAACATTAAATTGTTCAACAGATAGCAGCCGTCTAGCGATTCTGGAAGCTTTCCAGAAAAGTTATTATTGAACACAATGATGTCATTTAATTTCCTGTTGAAGCAAAGATCAGCTGGCAGCTCGCCAGAAAGGTTATTGTCGCAGACTTCAAGATTGACTAGTGGTGAGTGCTTTCCGAGCTCTGGTGGAAGAGAACCAGTTAACATGTTCCCAAATAGCCGGATGTCTCTGAGATTCGGCAGCAACCCAATGCTTGGCGGTATTGACCCATGAAGTTGATTCGTGTAGAGAAACAACAGGGTAAGGTTGATGAGCTTACCAAAGTCATCTGGTATTGACCCTGTTAGATTGTTTGAGGACACATCAAGCTCCACCAAGTTTACGGCTGTGACACTGGATGAAATCTCGCCTGTCAAACCGTTGTTAAACATGTACTAAGTACTGAAGCTTCTTATGCTGCCATACCCATGTCGGAATTGTGCCTTGCAGCATATTATTTGTCAAGGCCAAGAGGCTGAGCTCTGTGAGGCTTGATACGCTCTCAGGTATCTCACCTGTCATGTTCATACCCGACAGCCACAAGTATGTGAGGCGTGTCAACTTGCCAAACTCAACTGGGAATGGAGCTGGCAGAAATGGATTGTCCGCCAGAGTCAGCATCTCGAGGTTGGCTAGATTGCTTATGTCCTGTACTGGATAGCTTCCATCAAACTGATTGGTGTCGAGGATCAGTGACTTGAGCTTTGGAAACCATCCAATGGATGGTGGGATTTCGCCCATGATGCGATTGCTTGATAAGTTGAGATGCTCTAGCTTTGCTGATTAACTGTTTATGTCAGCTGCGAGTTTCCCACCAAAGGCGTTGTTGGAAAGGTCTAGGTACTTCAGATTGGAGCAATTGTAGAGTATTGTAGGGAATGAAGTGGAGAAGTTGTTGTAGGAGAGGTCCAAGTAGGCAAGATTCTTGAGGAGGCAAAGGGACGGTGGGATTGGTTTCATAAGGGTTTGCTGTGGAAGGGAGATGGCAGTGACCTCACCTTTTGTGCATGTAAGTCCTCCCCATCTGCAGTGGTCAGAGGAAATGGAGTTCCATCTGCCAAGCACAGTTGAGCTCCCCCAGTATCTCTTGAGTCCCAGAAGGATTTGGTGTTCATCACTATACTGATTTGTGGACTCTGGGTAAGATTTGGGTAGTAGAGAAATCAGTGCAGTGAAGAACAGCAGGAAGCTAACACAGTAATTGTTAGCCATGTCTGCAGAAGCTTTTGGGTTGAAAAATATCTTGCCAGCTTTGGGTGGAGAGGGGGGCAATGCATGCTGGACACACCTTTTGCACTACTCTCTTGTCTCTTGACGTTGCTGCTTACTGGTCAAGATGTTCTCCTCCACAAAAAACTAAAAAGGAGCTAGCCAATATTTCCCAGTACTGGAACTATGCAATCATCCTACTCCACGTAATGTCACCCCCACCCTCCCTGTTATTTTGGCTTCGTTTTCGTTTCGCTTTCATACCATGGGGGGAAAATCCCAAGACAGTTAATGAGATGTCTTGGCAAAGTTGGTTTTGTTTTCTACAACATTCATTTGATTTATTTTTACTATATTTTATTTCGTATAAGCATTATGGTGATGGATAAGTATATGGGTTGTTTGGTTTGAAGAATTGGTCAGTGAGCCGAGCGACCATCCAGTTCCAGCTCTGGACGTGACTCACTTTGAGGAATGGAATGGGTTGCCCAGCATCACCATCTCATCCTTAGTAAAAGCATAAGCCCATACCAGGGATTGGGTCATCCAATGATGGATCAGCTCATCTTGTGGTGAGCTAATTCCTCAAACAATCACACAATCAATACCCTCTGGCTCTGTGACGTGAGATTATAAGATCTTTACTTATTACGCTAGTGCATTTCGTTTCGTCTCCTAATAAAACAGTTTCTGGTATTTGAGCGACTGAAAGAGCTACTTCTTATAAGCTATAGAGTAAGAAAACACTAGACTTCTGGATCACCCCTACGGTGCCATTGCCTCAGAGCTAAACATCAGAAGTTCATGTTGACGTTCATGTTTTTTATATACAACCTGTGTCAATATTATTGCACCTGTAGACACTGTCTGAGCCAAGTATTTATATCTTGAATCTTGTCCGTCCTTCACTATTTACTACAGGTGTTGAATACACACACCACCAGTAACAGCACACTTTGCTATTCTTTTTTATGAAGCCCTGAACCGTAGAACAATCGTTCTATGGTAATTTTCATTAATATAAAAAATATAGCACAAAGAAAAGGAAAAAAAACTACCTATGTAAGTACATACAAAAATCTGCTGACCAATGCCTGCTCTTGGGAACGTGTATGTAAAGAATCTGAAGCTCAAAGCATAGCAATCTTGGAAGCAAGCACCTGCTTGTCCCTAATTCTGTGCGTGAGCATATTTAGATCTTCTTTGAGTGCCTCCAAGACGGAGTGGAAGGATCAGCATTCCTGAAATTTTTCCCATTTTTCTGCATTCATCCAAGGGTTATGATTTACATACTTATAGGTTTGGGCGGCATTTCCATTGGAAGCATAGTATCTGCATAGACTGAAGTTCCTCTCTTTCTGTTTGGGATGAGGGTGTACTAGTACCTAACAGGAAGGTTGCAACCCCACAGCAGATGCATCAAAGTTTCTTCACAAAGAGAGAAAAGTCATTCATGAAAAACCCCTTTCTTTTTTAGCATGGCCCTCCTGTTAATTCTATCATGCAGATGCATCAAACTCTGTTTTTTAAAACAAAACAAAAGAACTCTGCAAAGGCATAGATGGAAATGAAGCTGTTGGTCATCGAGGCGCGGACAAGACACAACACTGGCCTGAAGCATTTTCTTCTGAGGTGGGTGTCGAGGGCGACCAGTGGGAATTTGCCTGCAAATTGCTGTGCAAATAGTGATATTCCCCTAAATTAAGTGAAACGTTTTCTTTTGAGGGGATGGACAGAATTGAGAGAATCAGTTTTTTTAGGATTATTGGATTACACTAGAATTGTCCAATATTCTCAATAGATTTTCCATGCCAAATCAAGTTCTTTTGCGGTTTAGATTCTCCAGGTCCAGAGGTCTTCAGAAGCAGCCCAAAAGAATTGTCCCTGTGTTGAAAACAATTGGAATGTGCATCTTATTTCTTATACAGGCAACTAATTGCGCTGCGTGATTCTGTCTTGATGGTGATTGGTGTAGCTAAATGCTTGGATTGCTTCAGGTCTTTATTTCACACGCAAGCAGTTAATTACTGTTACGTGATTCTTTTTTCTTTTTGCTTTCTTTTTTGCAAATGATTCTGCATTTTGCTGATCCATTGATTATCTGACGGCGTTGAAAGTCTTTTTTTTGCAGATGACTGACATGAGATCTACTGAATATAATTGTTGGTTCGTTGCTTTTAAAAATACTGTAAAAATGGTTAGTTGCTTTAAAACATGTTTCTCGTCTTTTCTATACAATAGGTACATTGCCAAACAATTAAGCAATAAACATTTTACACTTTCTAGCTTACCATGGCTACTGACTGCGATTATAGTCATCAAGAACCACCTGACAGTCAGACTTGGTGAGATCAACGGCTGCTAGCTGGTAGTGCCATATGCATTGCCTTCCCCTGCATGTTCCTCCACCTCTGGTACACTTGTTTTTGAAACGGAGGCAAAAGTTTTGCCTCATCCATTAATTAAGATAGAAAAGAGTTGTTACAGGACATCTAAAAACACGGCATGCGGATTACTCGCGTGAAATAAAAGACCCTAGCTTCTTTGCACCGGCGACGACCCAAAGGTTGGCCCTCGGTAGAGATGGAGGAGAGCAAAATTGGCGGTGGAGCACTCTTATGTTTGAACACTCTTGCATTACGCTCGTTCCAAATTGTGCATGAGACGAGCATGGTGAGGAAGGCCTTGGCTTGGCGGTTCGTCGTGCCATCGGCGCAGGTGCTTGCCCACCACTCCTTCACCAAGTCGAACAAGTGTCGCTACACTCGGCGTCTTTGGTCGTTGATCATTGAGAAATACTTCCAGTGCACTGGCCGACATGCTCTATCCCATTTCTAAAAAGTCGAGCCCGTCCCTCAGGCCCTGATTAGATTGGTGCTTCACGGCACAATACCCCTGTAAAATATACAGACCTCCGTAAATTAAGTGTGGTCAGTATTATACACCTGTAAAATAAATACATGTGCCCCTGCAAAAAAATAAAATAAAAAAATAAATACATGTGTATAAAAATACCCCATGCCAAGCGCGGCCTCAAGCTAGCCTCGACCACGCACGGGCCGGCGTAGAGCGTGTCACCTGGCTACCGCCCGTTGGCCAGCACTGTTTCGAATCAAAGTGATTGATTGATCTCATCGATGATTACAGGATGCCATTTATATGATCTGGAGGGATACAATGGTTCGGACAAGACGTCGGTTCCAGACCAGATGCATCCATGCAGGAGGCAACCGCACGGCGGTTGGGCAAGGGGAGATTTCCCCTAATTACATTTGTAATTAATCTTAACACTCCCCCTAATCTACGCTTGACCATGTAGAATCGTCTCACGATCATCCAGGTAGGGCTATCATCTTAAAAGATTCTTCTTGAAAATTGATGAGAACCTGAAACATAAACTCACAAAGAGATAGTATAATGTGATGTCATAAAACAAGGATATCTCAAGAAGAGACTCCCTCTAATCACCGCTTGTCATAAGAATCCATCATCTTGATTAAGTCTCCTCCAAAAACCTTGTGGGAAAAATATGAGGAGTAGTGTAGGATATGTTGCTAAAACTCCTTCAAACCCAGTGGGAAAATAAGGAGAAAATGATACAACATATAATGATTATTGTCTCTTTTAACTCAATACGAGAAAACTCATAGAGTTTAGAGGACAATAAATATGCCGCATATACTTTTCTAAAAACCCCTATGGGGAAAACATAAAGTATGGCATATGATCTTGTGTTGATATCACCTCATTAAAAACCTTTGAGGACTTGTAAAGTGAACTCATGAAGGGACAAAGAGTATAATATGATGCATTGAACAGGAACAATTCAGGAAGATACTTCCCCTGATTCTTACAAATTCTGAAGCCGTCATATACCAACTCCATGAACATATTTCTGGAATGTAGATGTTGGTAGAGACTTCATGAACAGATCAGTCGCATGATTTGACTTGCAAAATATGCAATATATCCACATTGCTTATTACGTAACATGTTTGCATCCGGGCAACACAAGAGACATTATCGTTGAGATAATGGTTGGTGGATGTAGTCATGAGGTCTGTTTCAAAGACTCTTCATGAGGGGGCTACCACACCTAGTAGGAACACTAAGCTTGTCTATGATCTGACATAGTGGGGATCTGATCGATGCATCCAATGATATCGGTGTTCACATTTATGTG